TTTGTTCAACTCACTGCTTACCATCAGTTGAACACCCTAGCCTTAGTAAAATTACATGGTAACCTATCGCTTTTTTTCAGCATTGATACAAATAATTTGTCTAATAAAATAGATGACATCAAAGATTAGTTTATTGCCCTGTTGGGGATGAACCAGGTTTGTAAAAATCTAACCTAGCAGTTTTACTCTAATATTGTTTCAAAATACCAGTCAAACCTAGATCCTCAAAATGTTCTTTGAACTATCTTAGCCATGTTCCCATTTCTTTCGTTAGTTAATAAATTTTTAAAAAAATCTTTAACATGGTTTCATTGCAAATTTATATGAGTCATATATGTATTTATTTTTTTTTTTTTGAGAGGTTTTTGCTGTAGGGTACATGCGCTCTCCAGAAAGACAAAGAGACAGAAAGTGAGAAATCACTCCCTGGGGGGATGGCCACGCCGCAATCCCTTCTCCTCCATTCTCCTCTCAGGATCTTGGACGCACGCACATGCGCCCAGCGTGAGTTTAAGCCACCAGGTCTGAGACTTGAACTGGGGTCAACTACATGGGAGTCCAGCAACATAGCCATTAAGCCAATTGCTGGTCCCTGTATGAGTCATATTTTTAATTTTTTGAAAATTCTACCTTAACAATAGGAAAAATATATTTTTTAATAAAAAAGAACAGCAGTGGTCTTGTGACTGGTAGTGAAGTAATGAACTTCAGGGACGAGCCTTCCCTGAAAGAAGATCTGAGTATTAAAGACCGCATGCACTCATTGGAGAAAGACAGAGAGAGAATAAGAAGCATCCCTCCAGAGTGGATGACCGTGGTGCAATCCCTGCTCCTCCATTTTCTTCTCAGGAGAATGCTCTTGGTGTGTTTTTCAAGCCACCATGCCTGGGACTCTCAGCTGGCCATGTGGAATCCAGTGCCTTAACTGCCACACTGCCTGGCTAGCCCCTCTAATCTTTCATTAACTCTACACTGCAGTATATGATGGACAGTTAACAGATGGTCAAAGACCAAATTTGTCTTTCTAAAACCAGTCCAGTATCTGCTTTTTGTTTCTGGTTCTTTTTCTTTCTTTAAATAATTATTTATTTTATTTATTATTATTATTGCTGCTGCTGCTGCTGCTGCTGCTGTTGTTGTTATTTTGTTTTATTCGAGAG